GCAAACAAACAATAGACGGAAGTTTTGTTGAAAAGAGGTTTTTATCGCGGTTTATTCGTCTTCTGATCTAAACGCAGTGTGAAATACGGCCGTTCTTGTGATGAGGAGGAAAGTAACATGCGATCAGTATAGTCTTTATATTAATATGCAATGTGGCGCTTTTATCAGAATAACTTTTCTCTTGCTATTGTTCCTGATATTTTGACTTTCACACAAGAAGTGGAGAGTCAAGACTAAGACACGCATGCATTATAATTATGACGAAAAAGACTGATAGTAGAACTTAAAAAGGAATGTCGGTGTTAATTCTATGAATTGGAAGAAAAGAAGGTATGATAATTGTATCCCAAGAAATGAGTTGGTTGCAAAAAATAAGTCAATGAGAAAGTTTACCCTGGCTGATGAGAAGGGGAAAATCTTCTAATCTTGTGATTATGACATGTCTGTATATAATTTACTATTAATATCTGCAAGTAAGTAGGAATAGATTCTATTGTTGAGGAGCAAAAATATTCGGGGTTGGGTTTGACGTTTGTGATAGATCTGCTGACCATCGGAACGGATACATAAAAAGATAACTTGTTTGATGACAGATGGAGGGGCATGGCATGGGATGAAGGTTTTGAGTGCGGATAGATTCGGATTCTAATATTCCTCGTGATTGTCTATAATAAGAATAACTCTATCATGACGTCTTATTTCATTCTTCAAGTTCTGTATTATATGGCAAATTTCTCGTCTCTGGTGTCGATTGGTCAGACACACGACAGCTTTAATACTGGTATGGTTTATTATTGTATATTTGCGAGAGTTAACTCTTTTTTCCATCGTCGAGAAACTAAGAAGCGAATTGAAAGTTAACTGGACTTGGGTTTGTGAGTGGAAGGACGCAATACAGTCAAATGTAATGATTGCAAATTACATGTCGCTATTGTAAGTGCGCATTCAGGCTACATATTGGCGCACTGATTGGTATACTGGCTCGGAGATAAAAGGAACGATAATTATGTGCGTGTTCAATTATTCGCGATGAGATATTACATCAATTATTTTTGACCCCAATTTACTTTACGCCGGGTTTCGGAGAGATGCAATTGTGTTGTGTTCGCAGTCAATCTCATGTCAAAATACCCGTCTTTTGTTTAATGAGGGGACAAAGAAAATGACGACATTCTGAACTACATATTGTTGACTAAACTAGTTTGGACTCGTTTAAAGTCTACCGGCAGAATATTTTGTCTTTTCGTCATAGTGTTCCTAATAGCAGATCAAGTGTCAATCGAGTTTTACGGTATGAGGTTACACCAGGGCTCAGTATCATCTGGTCCTAGCTTCTTGGTTCGGAATATCTCGGTAGAATTCAAAGTGAACCTTTTTTACATTACAATAAGCAGAAAGCATTTAATTCCGTGACTTTGCGTTCCGTTAAAATCCTTAATATTGTAGCAATATCCGTTAAAAAGATGCCGATCGTTTTCCTTTTGTGTGTTGATGTCATACTGTATATGAGCAAATAAAGAATGTCATCCCAAAATAATGAAATAATCGCAATATATACATATAAGATAACCTCCGCTATCGGCCATTCGATATTAGTAGCAATAATGGCCGTGTACAAATCGCCTTTTGATATCTTTCCAGTAGATATATCGCCCCCCCCCGAATCTTATATTTATCATTTTGCTGTGACTAGGTAATCATATGAACTTGTATACTCTCCCGATTAACTTAAAACGTATTAATTGGTAAGGACTATATATACACACATACATACAACACAAGAGTGCTTTGACACATCTTGGAAAAAACCTTGGCCGTTTGTATCAACAGAAACAGTGATTGAACCGGAATACTAGCACCTTTTTATTCTCATTTTCCATTGTTGTATATTATAATCAAAAATATATGTACATTATATAAATCGTATAATTATAAAACTCATTAATATTTCTTGACTTTCACTCGACACTGTCGATATCTGTAAAGAACCCATCAAAATTATCCACATTAATATCAACAGCAAGAACCATAATAAAACAGTTAGCTCGCAACACACCCGACAACATTCCATAATGACACATACGAAATCCACAAGTCTACATGAATCTTCCACATCAGTTACATTTGCCGTCACTACACCCGACAACGATGACTCTTCTTCCTTTTACACGCCTAATTCGTCCCGGCCAGCATCACTATATTCTTCTCCCACTCCTACTCCTTCACCCTCGACTTCTCCAAAAACCTGCACATTCTTTTCATCTTTACAATCGCTTCGTAAATCACAGCCGAAACTCAATGGCGACATTAATAATTCAGATATAACTTGGAAGGCATTCATATACATGTACGCTCGAGGAATGTTTGATCCGTTGAGCATTCCCAAAAAACCTGGGAGGATGGGCAATGGAAAACTATTGACAAAGAGGAATAGCTGTCCAGAAGTTTTGGATTTGAGTGAAGAAAATATTGATATAATAACTAAAAGTTGTAAACTTGAAAAACGCAAAACCACAGAATTCCTTAGCGTAAGAGAGGATATCAGTGTCACAGAGAGCAAAAGAAGGGACCACGGAAAGGAATATGATATTGGGAAAATTTGGGAAAAAATAATGAACGAAAGTCGTAACATAACCACAGAAGCGGATGAAGACATAGAGGATGAAGAAATGGAATATCTAGAGCCGCCCATGCCACCGGACGAAAATGAACGACGCAGAGCACTGTAAGTGTTGTTCACTCGCGCAAATGAATTTTTTTTTTTCGGTGAAATACTTTCGATTGATTATCGTAAGTATTTATCATCGGAACCTTCCGCTCATTCTTAGCTTACCGCCAGACTTATTAACTCAACTATTTCATCCATAATCACAGCTGGCGCTTCCAAATCCTCAATACGCCTCCAGATGAAAATTTTAATCGCATTGTCTCACTCGCCCAAGATCACTTCAAAGTACGGAACGCGTCCATTTGTCTGGTCAACACAGACTGCCAATGGTATAAAGCCAGACATGAATCCGAGTTCTGGCAAACTAGTCGTGCTTTGAGTTTCTCAGGCCACGCTATCCTACAAAAGGATGGCGAGCCTCTAGTTGTACAAGACGCCACATTGGATTGGCGATTCAAAAAAAACCCACTAGTACTGGGACCGCCATATATTCGATTCTATGCCGGGGCTGCATTGCGCACTAAAGAAGGTTATAACATAGGAACGCTGTGCTTAGTTGACGACGTCCCGAGACACGATTTTGACGAGGAAGCTCGAGAAAAGTTGAAGGAATTTTCAAAAATAGTAATCAGAGAGTTGGAATTATGGTCGGACAAAATTCGTCTAGCAGCGCGCAATAAAATGCTACAATCCATTGCCGAGTTTAGCAAGTTCAGCCTCGTCCACATAAAAGCTCAACTGGAATCTTCCTCCAAGCACAAATCCCCATGGTCTCCATCTCCAGAAGCATTCACACCGTTCGATGATCCCGTAATTCAAAAATGCTTTGACCTTGCCGTGAAACTCATGCGAGAAACTCTCGATGTCGATGCCGTGTATTTGCTCGAAATGCCTTCACTGTATCATTTCGTCACAACACGCATGGGGAGTGAATTCGCGTTAGAGTGGAACGACTCGGTCGAAGCGGGAGAGAAACGAAAACCGTATTTGAGATTTCTTGCATCTACTGGACTGGAACTTCCTCCTCACACACTCACGACAGAGGCGACAACAGAGTTTCTTTTACATGTTATGCACACTCATGAACAGGGTTACATATTCCAAAATGCCCTACCACCAATTCCTGCATTATTTCCGTCGAACATGCAATCAGGCATCGTCGTTCCAGTCTACGGCAGCTCGAATCGTGCTTTTGGCTTTATAATCGCATTAACCAAAGACCGATTACGGCAGTTCGACGATGAAGACAGAGTATACCTTGGAGATTTTGGTGTAAACATTGCGAGTGAAGTCTTGAAAAGAAGAGTCATCGTAGCGGATAGGGCAAAAAGTGTCTTTGTCAGTTCGATAAGTCACGAATTGCGCACGCCGTTGCATTGTATCCTGGGAAGTTGTGAGTTGTTGGACGATAGTCAGCTATCGGATACGCAGAGAGAATTACTGTGCACGATTCAAGGATGTGGGGCAAACTTGATTTCGATTGTCAATAGCGTGTTGGAATATGCAAAGTTGGATGGCGAGCATGATCCAATGACAGAAATGGCGTCAAACAGTCCAACGACATCCCCACCCGAAGATTGTTCGCCAGATTTCCCGACATCGAGTTACGTTACAAGCGCTACTGGACATGCTCCTATTATATCGGTCCCTCCAGTCGTCACAAATTCGCCTTGCAAGCTGCGCCCGGTCAATCTAATCAGACTCCTTGAAGACGTTGCTGAGGCTTGTGTCGTCGGGCAACAAATGCTCTCTGTCATTTACAATAAACCAATTTCCGAGTCCAATCTCCCAACGAACGCAAGAAGGAGAAGTTTAATGACACTGTTGAATAGTAATCACCGTGAAGGTAGGTGCGAAGGCGATAATAACGTCGAACTGTGTCTGGATGTGGAGAAGAGAGAGCACGGCTGGAATGTTCTTGCTGACGACGGGAGTGTAAGATTAATTTTAGTGAACGTGAGTATATAAAAAGACGAGAGATGAAGGAAGTGGATGAAATGAGTGGTATGAGATATGATCACTAACTTTATGCGTTTATACTGTTTATTTCAGGTTATTGGGTAAGCGTTTCGAGTCCAATCAAAACCCGCATCGTACTTTCGGTCTCTTAGTCCAAAAACCACTGCTAAACCGATCTTGTATATCTCTCATTATCTGCAGTAATGCACTAAAATTCACTACCAAAGGTTACGTCCATCTATCTCTGGCTTCCGTCCCAGTACAACCATCCCCTGATAAAGGTTCCTCTTCGTCAAATCGCATCAGAGTCCTTTTTACGATAACGGATACCGGTCATGGTATATCTCCCCAATTTCTCACGACAGAGCTATTTCAACCTTTTTCCCAAGAGGATTCCCTCAGAGTCGGTACTGGATTAGGGCTGAGTATTGTCCGATCGCTAGTCGAGAAGTTGAATGGGGAATTGGATGTCAAGAGTACGTTGGGAATCGGAACTAGCGTGAAAATATGGCTGGATTTTGAAGAAACTAGACAAAACCTGGATGAAAAGGATGACGAGGCAGAGAAGACGTTAAGGGAGCAATTCTATGACAGTATGAAAAACCATACAGTAGTATTTAAAGGATTTCCGGATAAATTCCAAGAAGTGTTTGAAAGATATTTCACAACTTGGTTCAATGTTAAGAAAATCATCACGGACAACTCTTCATTAGTCAACAAACCTGATCCCCATATAATCCTAATCAATGATGACCTCGACGTTTTAACAAAGCTTATGTCGTCCTTTACAAACGCATATAAACGACGCTCGTCCTTTTCACGGACACGGGAGAGAAGTGGTTCACGTCCAATGGTCATTTTCATTACGACGCTTGCAAAACATGCGCAAGTTTCACGCGCTATCAAGGATACGCAGCTGCAAGTGGAGTCTCTCGAGAAGTTGCAGGATGGATTCGATGAAACTTCAACGAGAAAATGGATCGTGGTGGTCGTTCCGACGCCCATTGGGCCGAACAAGATTGAACAAGCCGTTCTCAATTGTTTTAGAATGGCCAAGTCAGAGGAACGTGTGGTCTCTCAAATAAAAACTACTCAATCTAGTCCAGGGCCTTCCGATCCAGTTTCTGATAACATGTCAACGACGTCGTCTAATACATCATTACCATCTAATCCACAGCCTGTGACAAATCATCCTTCCGAATCGTCTTCCGAGTTTCGATATGATGTTCCGGCTCAGCCAGCACGTCAGCCTCCAAATACTTGTTTACCAAAAGTTCTGACCGCATCAACTTCTGTTCAAAAACGTGCGCAGATCAATTTAACTGGGACTGCTAGCGCATCACAAAGTCCGAGAGTTTTAATAGTTGAGGACAATGCGGTCAATAGAATGATAATTGCAAAGTTTTTGAAAAAGATAGGCGTAGAATATGAGGAAGCCGAGAACGGTGCAGTGGGAGTGGAGAGGTTTCGAAAGAGAATGGAAGAAGAAACGACTCTAAGTAGTAGTGGGAAAGTTGTAAAGAAGGGGTTCGACATTATATTTATGGGTGAGTATTAATATATATATTATATAGATTTAATTGTCATCGTTCTTTCGTATCACCTCGCTAATCTTAATCTCAATACAGATATCCAAATGCCGGTAATGAACGGTAACATAGCAACGTCCGAAATACGTAGAATCGAAAAAGAAATCTTCGATCGAAGAAATAAACGAGTTAAACGTATTTTTGGCTTCCCCATTCCCATAATGTTTTCACAATTTCCCAGAAGTCGCTCCTACGCATATGAGAGTCGATCTCTCATTTTTGCGCTAACGGGTCTGGCAAGCGAAGAGGATAAATTATTGGCATTCGAGAGTGGAGTTGATGATTTTTTGACCAAACCAGTTAGTTTAAAATTGTTGGAGAAAGCGCTGGAAAAATGGACAGAAAGAAAAGAAAATGAGAATAAAGAGGAGAAAGCAAGAATGGCAGAGGAGGAGGATATTAAAAGGAAGAGAGAGAAGGACAAGAAGAAAAAGGACTATAGGATTGTCTGTGTTATTGGGTAAATATCAACATGTATTTTTATCGTAACAAACGAGACTACCATCTGCTTGCAAATTTCGATTAAATTAATTATATTCAATTTTTGTGTTTAGCCAAACAGATCAATCGTAAAGAACAGGGGAACATAAATATTTAGTTTACAATGTAAATAATAATATTATTAATAGAGGCAGAGATATTAATATTTTCGTTCGTGTGAATCGAATCGAACATCATCATGTAATGCAGTTTGGGTTAAAGCCAAACTTTACTATACAGGAATTCCCATATCCCCGTGATTTAGCATAGTCCACGTGTTTAATGCGCACAAATTATCTCTCACGCACAATTACTAATACAAGTAATAAGGTTTATACAGGAATGATTCGCAGCAAATCAGTGTCGTTCAACATGCAAAGAGAATCCCGCAAATCACAATCAAACTAGAATCGGAAACAAGAATAGACGAGAATCACTGCATAGAAGCAGGTCGCACTATAGAATTACAAACAGAAGCATGGTAAAACAAATTTATGCTTATGAAAGGATGCCAAGGCTGAAAAAATGCATTTTTTATTTACAAAACAAAAGGTCAAATAAGAGATTCCATCGCGTTAAAGCAAACGAGTTTCGAACTGCAATATAAGGGCAAACGCCTCCCCCCCCTTCCCCCTATAATGACCGTTTTCATTACTGACTATCATCAAAGTCCGACATAATGCCACCAAGCTTGCTCACAAAATGTTCCATTTACCAAAAATGGCGCCCACTTTCCTACACAGAGACGAATATCATGCAAACCCTCTTACGTTATAGTACTTTTTCCTGCTTTCCAACACAGTAATATATCTAGCTGTCTTTCCTGCTCTCCTCTGATCCCTCTCCTCCCCTTTTTCCATGCTCAAGCCAGGTCGATGCCATTTCACCCCAGTTCCACTGTCAAACACTCTACTCCCATCTTTGCATATGCGATAGTAGCTCCCATCCGCGCAAAAATATTCAAACTCACGTCTCTCTCCTTCGTTCCCATGGGACACGCAAACATGTCCAAGTGGATGAAACGAAATACGAACATTCTGCAGTTGTGGATTAGTTATCGTCGAATAAACCAACGCGCCGTGAGGGTGAAGATGAAGAGGGTAGGAAATGTTGGGAATTGTCTCTGGGCATGGCGGGAGATTTCGAGTTAGGTTGGAAAGGAAATAGCGAGACTTTGGTACGGACGTAGAAAAAGCCATGCGAGAATGAACAGAGGGCGGGTGGTATACATCGTCCAGAGTGTACTGCTCGTTAAAGTGCTCTTCTATGTACTCTGTGCCACCGTGGAAGTTGCCCGGGTAGTGTACCTCGATTTTGTCGTGCCTGCCGTTTATCGATATTTTGTTGTGAGGTGAGTGAGCGTGAGTGTATTCCGTGTGTTTACCCTCGATCGACATGTCTGTTGCTCGATCCTCTTCATCCGTAATGTCTGCCATATCGTCGTCCTCTTCTGCGTTGTCTTCGTCTATATCGTCATATTCGTGTTCCTCGTATTCTTCATCATAATCATCGAAACAATCGACATATTCATATTCACTCGCGTTTTCTGTTATGCTATATCCTTCGGCGCTTTCTTGTGCGTCTTCTGTTCCCGTACCCTCTTCTACCACTTCATACCTTTTTTTCCTATTAATAACATTCATTCGACTGTTCGACGCGTCACGCTTATAATCAAACTCGATCCTCTCGCGAAACGGAGAGTAAACGGGTATGGATGTTAATAGCATCAATTCAAACTCCCCCATTTTGGTTTGGGCGACGAATTTTCTACGCTCTATGCTTGACATTTTTTCTAAGGAGACCGATCAACTCGGGGGTGGTGGTGAACCCTGTCAAACTTATATTAATGCTACACAAACAAATGACAACGCCACAATCAAGTCGTGATGATCACGAGTGTCTCTAATTACAGTAAATTTCGTGGCGCTAAGTAGTACAGTCGACCTTCTCTATAGTCACGCTATCGGAAACAATGTAACTTTTGTTGAAAATGTGCTTATAAAGAGGTATGTACAACACGCTCGACCGCCTCAATAAAGAGAGAATCGATAGTTAACTAAGTGGAGAATAAGTATCATCACATTTAAAGTCATAACAATGGAAAACCTACCAATGTCAATGTAAAAAGTAAATATTTTGAAACGAACCCTCGCATTTGATTAACGGGAAACCGGATCCTTATTTTTTTTCGATATAATAATTAGTATTAAAAACCGAACAGCTGGAAATAAAGAAATATATCGAATGCTTAATGGATGGAACGCGCTATATAAAGTGGCAGTCTAGTCTGGTTTGATCTCAAACGAATAGTCCAGAGCCTTATTGCGAACACTTTCCGTTTCCCATCGATAGAAGAACAATTGTTATACTCTACTGATTAATAAGACTTATATTTAAACGCGGGACAAGTAATTTTTTTTTGCTTGGAATGTCACGATCAAACACCCCACTACGAATATAACAAAAGTTTTACATTTCAACCTTTGTTGATAACAACTCTTCGTTTGCGACGAAATAGACGCTTTTTTGAGAAGAATCACACAACAAAGGTTTACCTGGCAAGTAGCAGTAGTAATGCGCGACGTCTTGGGAAAGCGGACCATATTATTATGCAAAATAAACTACTCGCAGTCCCTCAACCCGACCATAGACCACCAAGGTTGTCCAACTGCTGCCCACATTTGGCAACCGCGTCAAGTAGGTTCTTTGCAATTGCTCAAAATTCTTAGTTATTACCAATAACTATGTTGAGTGTTATTTTAATACTAATACAATGTTAGACTTGGTTATACTGTATTAGCACAAATTATCTCATAATTCGAGGCATATTAACAATAATGTCAGCTTTAACTCTGTTTTGAATAAGAGCATCAAAGACATCAAAGCCGATACAGTTAAACCTGCGCCCAATACAGACACTGTGCACATTTCTATACGAGCTTTAATATATTGTACTCTTTAATGTTGGTTGTTGGACAGTATACAAAGAATGGCTTAATGCTGTTGATATACTGTAATTGCAGACGTACTTTTGAATTGTATTTGCAACGCGAAAACGTTTATTAGCATGTGGGAAAACACGCGTACTACGAAATTGTGTATAATTCCTCCCTCTAGTATAGTACCCTCCTTTTCACACAGTACGTTCTGGTAAAGTATCCCGGTTACTAGAGCAAGTTGTAACTCGCATCGTAATAGAGAGTTTCAAATTAAGGGAAAATTTCAAAGAGTGACGGATACTTTTGGCAGGGAACGTAGCCAAATTCCCAATCAATTAACTTGATTATTGATACGGTAACACTCTTAATAAAACATCGCCCATAAGATAATGTATAAATACACATTTATATTATTTTCGTTTACAGTTTGCTTGCACTTTGATCTTCTTTCAGCACAGCCAAACCATTCGTGAGTACAATAACGTCTCTCTCTCTTACTTTGACTAGGTATACAACTTTACCTTCTCCAAGTTTCCACATATATGTATCGAGAGTATCACCTGGATACACAGGTACCGAAGATCTCCCAGTAATGCTAACGAGTCGACTTGGGTCATTGTTCCCGAGCGTCTTCAGTATAGCATGTGCGGCATGACCAAACGTGCATAGACCATGGAGAATGACACCTCCAAAACCTAATTCTGCCCCAATTGTCGGGTCTGGTGTAATCCAAGAGTAGAAATAAGAGCATGATAAAAACAATGAAGTAACAAGAAAAATCATTAGACACAAACGTTTACAAAAAAATGCTAAAAGAAAACAAATTAGTCTGTACCTGCGTGCAGTGGATTGTAGTCCCTATGCAAGTCTAGTGTCAATAAAGTCTAACATGTAGTATACATTTTTACGACAATATAATGACCAACATACCCAGACAGTCTATAAAGCAATGCTTGGGTAGCTAAAGTCTTTGCGGAAACCACAGCATCAGGCGCTTTATTTTTGGGCGGTGAGTACGATAAACTTTTCCCCCCCTTGGGCCCGCCAAATCCACCATAACCAATTACAAATGTTTGCGATCTTGTCTTCGCGTATTGTACCTTTGTATTTGGATCAATCAGAACAGACGTAAGTTCGAATACCAACCCACTGCCTACGAAATGAAGGGGAAAGACATGAAATGTAATATATCATAAATGTAACGCAATGTGCAAGTAAAAGCAGAGAACGAAAATTTGACGTTTACATAAATCCGTCATAAGTTTTGTAATGACCGTACCTTTGTCGTATATGCCAGTTACGGTTGTTTGCAAATCAAATTCTCCTTCTACTGGTAACTTATTTAATACTTCAAGACTTTGTTCACCCTGGATCATTTTATTTGGATCCAATGGGGGAAGCCCAGGTATTGGACCTCCGAATTTTGTTCTTTCTGCAAACAAATTGACATCGTTTGTGTTTCCTTTGAGGGATAACACAATCGGATAAGTTGGAAACGGTGCAAACTGTTTGTCTAAAAGAATAAGAATATTAAAACGAACGTTTATGGGCACGTGGAAACGAGAAAACTGCTTATGGCAGATTGCCTGTACCTAATTCATAAGTATATCTCAGTTCATCCGCTTCACAACCGATGGACAATGCATACAGGATTATATCTCTCTTATTGTAAGAGACTTTCTGTATAGGAAATTGATAACCAAGGGCTTTCTGTGGTTCAACCTTTACTTTTGACATATTATCTTCTTCCCGTCTATCAATTATCGGGTTAAAATGGTTGTGAACTAGTGTAACATAGCCGCATCATTATTGGTGGAACAGGTGAGCGCGTCACAATCAAATGTGTAAAAGCCGTGAACTGACGCAACTTTCTAAAGTATTGTCAACAAAACCCTACCTAATTAGCACCAAAAGAAAAGGTATTGGCTTGTCAAATAGAAGGAAAATTTTTTTGATGACATTACCCAAGACGGCTTTGAGTTGTAGTGCTTAACGTGATAATAATCCGAATACATTGTCAGAATGACTATGTAACAATTTCGTGTTTACCCTGTCAATCACTTTTCGGCAAGTTAATAAAAATTTTGACTAATTAAGATACGACTTGTGTCAAATATTATTCTTCATGCCAGTAATTTTTGCCCCAAAATATCCTGAAATGAAAGAGTTCGAAATTATTAGTAATGACCGTCCAGCTGAGGCAACGTTCTTACCATCTACGGATAAAGTAGTGCTGTTTTTATTTCTGTTGTTGGGTCAAGATTGATAATTGTTATCATCGTCAGTACCGCGCATCGTCGCAAGTCTCCAATCTTCTTGACACAATGAATTGTGAAAGATGCTTGTTCTCTCACTCTCTTTGTTTCTGGTGAGTAAGCTCCCCATTTCATCGAAATAAATAAAACTATTCCAAAGTTGTATGGAATTTGTCTGAAAAAAAGAAATGTATCACGCAACAGATATGTTGCTCTTGCAATCAATCCGACATTTTGCAAAGTCTTAAACGTAGGCGCCCGCACGTTGAAAAATGTCGCCCATTCCTAAGAGCTAAAGTTTGGCCATCACCGGAATAACCCCAATCGTTTACCACGTCGCAAACACCATACAATTAATCCCTGTACATAACGGTAGTCAGCAAAAGAAAGGAAAAGAAATTTAGTAGAAAATGCGAAAATGCAGTGCGTGGACAGCTCTGTCATACCTAAAAAATCAAGCAAGTATCTTCTGAATTGTTTAAATTCTGTTGGCATTTGGACATTATTGGCCTTACGTATAGCAAATTAGAACACTTTCGTCAACGGATCCAGGCTACTTCTTTTGCAACTTGAAAAGCCTTGTTCAGTAAAAATCTAAACCTCTTGCATTGTATAGAAGTTTAGGTGGCATACTTACAATATTTACTAATTGTTTATTGTGCAGAATAAAACTAATACTAGAATGAGAATAAATAGTTGGGAAAGTTTATTTTGTCCAACAATTGTATTTAATAATATGAGTTGAAATGAATCTATTCATCTTTCATGAAGTTAATAACAGTTCTACCAGCTACTCAATCAATAAATAATCCTAATAATTCTATGTCATGATATGCTAAAGCACTCATTCTCGCTGTCCATTATATCCGTTCTTCAATATCCAAGTTCTTTAGCTCTGAGTTCCCTAGCAGCGAGGTGCAAATCTTCTCTCCAATTCTCAAATACTTCCTTCTTCTCGCCTGCTTCTTCATTCTTACCGCTATTAACCCATTCAAGTATTTCCCTGGTATACTCGCACGCGTTCACAGTGCCAAATATATGATATTTTCTAGGAGTCGTGAACATTGTATCAAGAGAAGTCAAATTATATTCTTTACGCATGGAAGTGAAAGAGGGAAGTCGGATACGGGATGCGAAGACGTGTGAGATCAGAAGAGCTTGCGCGTGGCTCACAGGGATCGGGGATACCTTTATTGGAAGGCCTACGAATGTCAACTTAAATAAGATGGTAAAGAAAGGAAGGATACATCATAGGGGGAAGGGAGGGCGAAAAGAGATGGGTTTAGTTAGAAAGAGATAAGATACGGAGGCATCATATGATATAAACAACAGGATACCGTAAGATCAAGATAAATGTAAGCCCTCCATGGATTTCAACTTACTGTCGGATTGGGTATATAAAACACTTGTTTATACAAGTTATAAACTCTTTCTCCGCTTGTAACCAGTATTCTCTCCTGACTGACGTCTCCATTCTTTCCAATCTCAATACCGTGTAGAAAAGGATACGAATACATAAAACCTGTTGCAAAAATAATTCTATGCACATTTATAACTGTACCATCTATAAATTCGACTTGGCCGTAAGGAATGTTCCTTTTCTCGTGAATGTAGTTGCTGTCATTGTTATTATCGTTGGATGTGTCCAAATAAGATACAATAAACCTCTTTACAATAGGTTTGACAATTACCGACTCGGCAATGCTTGTCAGTGAATCGATGTTGCGCACGGAAAGGTATATTGGTGATTTAAAAGTCAAGGCGAGTTCGCGTGAGATATCTGATCCTGATGCCGCGCTCCCTATCACTAATGTTGGCTTAACAAAAAACCTAATGTTGAGTATAATCAGTTGATAATAAAACAATGACAGAGCAGTACAATTGACGCTACAGACGAGTCTATTTACCTGGTCTTCAAATAAATCAGGTCGGCGGTATTGCTTAGAATGCAATATGCGGTCAGGCCACGTATTTGCCCACTCCTTGAGGCCATTGATTTCTGGAATATATGGCACATTGTAGTGACCAGTACAAACCACTACTGCATCAAAATGTTCCTCCCTCCATTCAGCCACATATTCTGCGTCATCACTGTCGTGCGCGCTAAAGTCTTTTCGATTATAATCGGGAATTGCCTCTCGATCCTCCCCAATTGTCTCCATCTTCGCATTACTCTCAACAAGACTTATTTTTTGCTTATCGTTCTGTATTTGTTCGTCACTTGCTCTCTTCAAGCTCTTTGTAATAACCTTCCATCCATTTTCGCTTTCGATGACTCTTGTTACATTCATATTATAAGAAATAACATCATTCAGTTTATGTTCCTCAACGAACGATTTTAGGTATGATAATATGACTTCGTGATTAGGGAATAAAGGCGTATTTGGTGGATATGTCGTATTGAAATATGTCATAACTGGCGTTGGTATATTGGTGTGAAGGCCGGCATAGATGGGAGATACATTACGGATATGATGAGTGGTGAAAGAACAAGATGATTTGGTGTTTGGCACTTCCTCAGGAGGATCGGATATCTTTGGATCCGTACTCGGAAATAACGGTACTGGTCCAGTATCCTCAGAGTAGATCCTGTTACCATGATCCTATAGTATTTTAGTTGATAGCAGAAACGAAGGTCGCGAATCATAAGAATCTTACCATACTCCTCCAGGTTGTTCGCCTCTCTCATAAACAATTACGTTCAACCCAATATCCATCAGGACTTTAGCTACTATCATGCCAGCGACACCGGCACCTATGACACATACTTTTTGTATTTTATACGGGAATGTGTAATCGTCTGCTGTACTTTCTGACATACTGAGACAATGTTCATATGTTCGCTGACAAGTGTGTCACCGATAATGAATGTTGATCCGATTGATCTCCATATTTTGCGAACCCTGACATGCAGCGAACAAAACGAATTCAAATTACATCACGTGGCTTGACTAAAAATATATGTAAATCGTATTAGATAGCGAAGCAACAAATACCATATCCATTGTTACTAATACTGCATTATAATTAGATATACTGAAATTCGTGTTACATTGCTAGTAGGATAGATTTATTATATTAATATTAATGTATTGTCTTATAACTTAATTAACTGTTCAATAAAGCCTAAACCAAATTTTTAAATTGTGAGAAATCTTTTTGCTTAAGGTATAACATAGTTAATAATGACTTTTGAGTGCATTATAACAAACTAGTTACGATATATTTTTTAAATCTGTGTCCTTAACGTAAGAAAGCATATCTCACTCAGAATTATGCAGCACTTATGAAAGTTACAAAATTTATAAACGTTAATATTGCGAACAAGTTTTACTTATTACATGATGGCCAGCTGTGTTGGTTATTTTTTATATGAACAGCTTTTAATATTAACGTCCGATCAGCTAAATTTCATGGTGGTCACTCATTTCTGGCAGGTTGTATGCGAGTAGCGCATCTCTTCGTAAAATCTCTCGGTTTTGATGTGGTCACGTACCCAAATCGGGTCTTCTCCCATTTCAGATGTAAATGTAATGTATCAGCAATAAATTCAGATTTTGTTTCACGAATCGAAAGGATGTTACAATGTGAAAGAAACGTCGTTTATCCGTCCGCCACGTGATCATCACCCAATTATATCACAGATCGCGTTTTCACAGTTTATTTTATAATTGTAATTGGTCATTTGTAATTATTAAGTTTTCATCAATATTAAACAATTATCTGTGACATAAAGTTTTAACTGTATTCTTTAGTATTAAACAACTTGTCAAGAGTTTTCGTTACATAGTGCAGATTAGAAAATTCATTGGCATGAACGTCTTACTGTTAACAAAATCAATTTTTGGGCATTCACGGATTTGAATCGCGAAGATTTTCTGCAGTATTATGTTAGTTTGATGTATTCATCCTTTCTGGCACAGCTGGTCTTGTAATACCCAGTGTACAGTTAAGTTAATATAAATATGGCTTAAGAATTCAAACTGATAAATGTTGTACATTATTTAATCTTTCCTTCGTTATATTACTCATCGTATTGTTGGCTAATAATAAAACAAGGCTTTCATTAGAATGTGGGTCACATTATACTCACAACTTTATCAATGTGCTTACCATCGTGACAGTAGATATTTTATCATTTACGTCTTCGTGTCTCCACAATGAAATTACTGTTTTCGTTTGAGTATAGAATTGCAATCCGGATTTTCCATCTGGAAAACAAAAGAAAGATAGCAATCAGCAAAAAAATTTATGTCTAAAAATAAAGTCAAACACACAGAAAACACTCACAAAAATTGATGTCGCCTCGTATTGACTCACGATTTCCAGTAAAAGAAAACATTGGCAATGGAACAGGAATGGGGACATTAACTAAATGACAAAGCAAAAAGTTATATAAATCGTAACAAAATTAATCAAGTCACGGTCAATGAGGATACCTACTTCCAACCTGCCCAGCTCCAATATTGGAAGTAAAGTATCTAGCATTACTCCCACTGTTGGTAAAGATAGCCGTACCATTCCCATATGGATTCTTATTGATTAGTTCAATCGCTTCATTAAGAGAATTAACAAACAAACAAACAAGCACGGGACCAAAAATCTCTTCCTATAATAGTAGATAAGGAACAATTATGATTGGAGTGATTAATAATACTCAAAAGACAAAAACGATGAAGTCACTATAAAAGTCACCTTATAACACTGCATATGTGGTTTAACATTGACAAGAATGGTAGGTCCTAATAAATGTTTATTTGAAATGCCGGGTGTCAGATAATTGGTACACTCTTCACTCATACTAGCGTCGCGTACATACCAACAAAGTTTCCATTTTTATACTTGTCAGGAACTTGCGGGTTTCTTCCATCCAGTACCAAGTCTGCCCCCTCATCAATTCCACTTTGAATCAGTGTCTCCACACGTTGTTTAGCTTGAGGACTGATCAATGGCCCAAGATCGGCATCTGGTTCAAAACCACCTGTGACTTTGAGTTTGCGAGCACGCTCAATTAGCTCGGGAATCCACTTTTTTGTTTCGCCAACAAATATTGCTGTAGAAAGAGCCTTTTGAATCCAAGACGAATAAAGTAAGAAATAGGAAAAAATAAACGCAAATGAACTATATTGTGTTTAAAATATCAAGGTTTTTATATCAGGAATTACCATGCATCGTTGTCCTGCTGCTCCAAATGCTGCCCCAGCCAGTGAATTTAGTGTATGATTCTGAAATAGTATCCGACAATTAGCTGTATCACTCATACAATAGGAAAGCAACACTTAACTAAGCATGCAAAGTGGCATTATTAAGATTACTTGAGTAATCTTCAACAAATGCTGTGAACCTTGTTTGCATCCGGCATAATCACACCGTGGTTTTTTGCAGCTAGATTGGCCTTTTATAAAATAAGCAAAAGTCAAACTACGAAACGTTCATAAAAAAAAATTCGATAGCTGAACATTAATCACGATGCCAACCTGAACTCTCTTGCCCTTTGCAGTACCTCTTGAATGAATATACTTTCCGGCTACAAGTCACCGTTTGATATTCATGTTAACATTTACACGGTGTACCAGTGGCATTCTCGATATATTATACTCACCCTTATCACTACCCACAAAAGAAATGGCTTTAATGGTTTCATTATCAATCAGATAATTGACTGTATCCACAGATCCATGTACAACATTCAAAACTCCGTTGGGCAATCCGGCTTTTTTAGTCAGTTCTGCCAATATCATCATTGCACCTGGATCTCTTTCTGATGGTTTAATTATCATTGTATTTCCCGCTGCTATAGCTAGAGGGAACATCCAAAGAGGTATCATGGCTGGAAAATTAAATGGACATATCCCAGCTGTAACTCCCAACGGCTCCCTGATCGTATATGTATCCATGTCTCTCGATACTTCCAAGTTATCTCCCATTAGTAGATTTGTAACACCACAGGCGTTTTCAACAACTTGTAATCCTCTGAATACATCGCCCTTTGCATCGTCAAGCGTTTTCCCCTGCTCTTCGGTAATAGCTTTGGCAAGCCGGTCCATATTCTCGCGAATAAGATACTGCAGATCGAGCAGAAAACGTTGTCGAGTAAGAATAGAGCTCTCCCGCCAAGTGAGAAAGGCCTCTTGCGATGCAGCAGTGGCCGCATCAAGTTCTTCTTTGATTGGCTCTGGCACCTCTGTTACGAGCTCATTTGTTGCCTTCGAGGTTTAATCCGTTAGTAATTATAAGTATCATAATCTTTAATACGGCGTAATAGCATGGTAGGTATGCTTACTGGGTTGTGTAGTGGAATCCATTTGCTAGTACGAGATTCGGTAAATTCTCCGTTAATGTATAATTTCGTTCTAGAACTTGCGTATCGTCGTGTAATCAACGTTAATGTTGTTTGGGCTTTTCGAAAACGTGACAAGATCATCATACAAATGCTTGCGATAAACACTAACAGGTTTGTGACTTTATTTTGGCCGGAACGTCGAAAGGGATCAACGCTGGGTGTCACATATTCTTTACAACAATAGCTTTTTTCGCAGGCTTGTAGATCATGACCTAAAAATAACAATAGGATGTGTTCGCGTTAGATTTACTGTTACACGGTGCCTCTCTTTATAGTAATTAAAATCGCGATATAGTATGGTGCAAGACATCTAAAGACTGAAATAAAACACCCAACTTTCAAAACCCTAAGGCTTTTTTATATTAGAGGGTTTGGAGAAAAACTAATCCGTAAGAATGATAGAGCAGATGAAGTAGAATAAAAGTTACGGTAAAGTGAAAGTTCAGCATTATTGTTCTCATAACATTTTTTATTGTTTTAATATGCCTAAAAGAAAAGCTGCACATATGCAAGTGTCTCGAGATAAGAGAGGCAAATTTATTAAAGCAGATGAACTCAACTCGATCGATACAGAATCAATCACATTTGAATTAATGGAGACGGAATTCAGTGATAATTTATCAGGTGAAAAACTTTGGGAAAACGATGAGGTAAGTGATTGGGGAATATAAATCACACAGAAAATGCATGGGAGGAGTTAAGACCAAATTAGTCCGATCAAAGTATCGCAGGCGAAAGTATTAAAATAAAGCGAAATTTGCATTATGATTTTAAAGAATTTTATTGGATAAATGTCATGTGATTGATAAGTGATCTGCAGAACAAAATTTCGGACTGTTCGGTCTTTTACTTTAGGTGTCTTGCATCATAATACTGTCACAAGTAAAGTGCTTGTCAAAGTAAATATGAAATTCCCGACAGAGTTCAGTAAAGAAGTGAAGGTGCATGGGGGGACATTATAATAAACAATCACAAGGACGATTAGACTGACGACGACGGCGACGATATCTACACCAGTGATCCTTACCTTAGCATCACACTTGATGCACAATGACACCACAGAGACATTGTGGGAGCCCTCATCACACCCAAGGATCTTCTTGTGCATATTAATATGTCAGCAGAGAAAGCCACACCATGACCAATTCATGTTTGTACATTTGATGAACTTATACCCACTCACTGGAAACACAAAAGCTTGCCTGCATCCATTGTTGCACTCCAACAATTATTTTTGTGGGCTGCTGATATCCCTGACTTGGCCACTATTTGTCAAAAATTGCATGTGGATAACCAGGAACATCTTGGATATGGTGCCACAAGTAATGTCTATTACTATTAATAATAATATAAATAGAAATAAATGACTGTTAATAATAATAAACACTTGATATCATTTCATAGTAATAGGTGGTGATGCTGTTCAGGAATTGATAGGTGCTCTTACTAAATTCCCTAATAATGGTAACATTATTATTATTGGGGTTTTGGTAGCTCCTAGGTTTAGTCAAGGGGCAGAAGACGAAGTTGCATCATCCGATTTCGAAATCATATTAACTAATGAAGCTGACATGATTTTGAAAATAATTAACCATATTACGACTTTGTCAACTGTTACCTTACAGAATTTAGGGGCTAAAGAAAATAGAGGACCTCAAAATTAGAATTGAAAAATATGAAAAAAGTCTTATTAATAGTATCATTAAATTTTAAAAACATATCTTTAGTGGAAATAACATAATTATGTTATTTCCACTTAGTCTAGGTTATTCCCACTCAGGTATGTGTCGTGATCCAAATTTTATGACACAGACTAAGGTGTCGTAATCCGAATTTTATGACACAGACTAAGGTGTCGTGATCCAAATTTTATGACACAGACTAAGGTGTCGTGATCCGAATTTTATGACACAGACTAAGGTGTCGTGATCCGAATTTTATGACGCATAGGTAGACAGCTTGTATACCCGATCTAGGTTATGATGTACCGTCATTTGAGTGACGCGTTTTCTATTATAATTCAAATTCGATAACATTATATTGTATACCGGTTTGGTGTTTGTGGGTGGTTTCTGCTACAATAGATTAACTAATTTAGGTTATGATGTCCCCGTATTGTTATCGCGAGTTTGATAAATCGAACACATTTTATATGTCATTTGATATCGTATGTTGGCTTATCGTTCTCAACCGATTTCCATCGTAATAAAATAGCTGAGTTAGGTTATGCTGACTTGTTGGCCTTAACGCGAGTTTGACCGGTCAATTGCGATATTTGTATGCTAGTTTGGCAACCGTATCTGATTTCCGTTGTTGGCTCACATGGATAAAAAAATATATTCAGTTATGTATTGTTATTTGCTGGCCAATGTTACCTACCTATTGCTATCGGGTATGTTATCAAACATGTATGCGTAATTGCTATCACTTAATGCTATCTAATTACTATCGCGTATGCTATATACACGCTATCTAATTGCTATCGAATACGTTATATTAGAATATGCCGATTTTGATTGCTGGAATTTTCGATACCAGAAATATATCCTGAGAACATACATATTAAAAAGCAGGTTAACTTCGACTAAATATATAAGAAGGCGGGGTATATAACTGCAAATAAATCTGATGTTGACTATCCGAAAACATATCATTAAATGGGTAGCCATCTCCCATAATTATTATAATATATTACTGAAGTTAGCTACCATGATCACATACACAAAAATGTATCCGAAAACATATCATTAAATGGGTAGCCATCTTCATTTTTCTTAAATATATTACTGAAGTTAGCTACCATGATTACATACCCGAAACATACCAGTAAAATAGGTAGCCATCTCCCATAATTATTATAATATATTACCAAAGTTAGCTACCCGATATCTACCTCAATATATCATCAAGCATATACCTAAACATACTTGATCACATGTCCCAAAAACATACCACTGGCATAAGTAGCCATCTTCGATTTTCATATATAATAGCGAAGCTAGTGTCAAAGACACATATTACTGAAGATAGCTACTCCGAAAACATAACCCGAAATATATCATCGAATAAATGTCATAAAGACATACTCGAAAACACACTTCAGGAATGGGTAGCCATCTCTCATAATCTATTACCGAAGTTATATACCCAAAGTAATTCACTAATCGAGACCGCAATTCTCTTCATTCATCTTACTAAAACTTGATGCATCTTTTTTTGACATCTCTTACCAGGCATGAAAAAATTAATTGCGCGATAATGAGGCACGTAGCGCTGAATTGTTATCATATTTGTAGTGCCGAATTGTTAGCAGTTGTTAGTTTCGCATAATTTATTCGAATATCGATCACGGATGAGGCACATAGTGCCAAATTGCTAACTATTATAATGTACTCGAGTATTGATCAGGGATGAGGCACGTAGTGCCGAATTGCTATCACCACTTGTTAATACTCAAAGCATTGTAATAAGTATATCTGTTTTCTGTTTTTATATGATGAAAAGGAATAGCCAATATTTGATATGGGGATGGTGTAGTGGATATAGATATAAAAAAAAATACTTAATGCGAAAAAAATCGTTGGGTCAGCAAACCGCACTTTTTTTAATGTTTTTGGTTGGATTGAATCAGTTTTCAGCTATCGATAAAAATTATGCAGTTTGCTGTCCCAAAATCCAACATAATGTATTTTTGGTTTCTAGAACTCTTTCTCACATAGCTTCTACAAGTAAACGGTCAAACTATATCCGCGGTTTGCTGTCCCGAAATTTTACCTTTTCACCTCGATGGCCCAAAATTTTTCAGCATAAATTGTCTCTGCTAATACTACTCAAAGCATACTACCACATATACATTATGCGATCACTTTAGCCTATCACTTACCCGAAACTGTATCTCAATCAAAATTATGCAACACAAAAACGGTTATTGATTAATTTAACTTTATTTCGATCAAAATTCCACGGCACAAAAAACCCCTTATATAATCCTGCCCACTAACAAGTTCGTGTCCAGATATGTATAGCTAATTGTTTTTTATATATATTATCTAATTTTTCTGGCTTATTGTGGAACAATGGCACTTACGTGCCTGAGCAGTTACTGCAAAAAGGCGGGGTATCAGAGTAATAATTTTTTATTTGAATTTTTTCTTATACTTATTTGTAAAAGGCGACAAAAACCCGGATATATAACTAGCTGAATGTAGCAATCTCTCTTCTCCAGAAATTACTACTTAACTAAATGATAATGTTTTGGCACCTTTACTTGCTTCGCTGAAACATTTATAACAACTACGCATATTCAATGATTGCTAAAGATTTATTTTTCAATTCTTTTTTGTGCGGAGTAGTAGGTACGCTCATCTTAGCCTCGAAATTTCGCTTATATTCCAGGAAAGCGACCTCGTCCATGCTCTCACGCTCTTTTTTCCAATAATTTTGATTATCCCGCATTTCAAAAGCAATCTTGGCTCGCCATTGTTCTAACCTTTCCCGAGACATTTGGAATTTTTGCTGTAAAAGAATAATTAGGCTATCTATATCAGATTCATTTTTAATGAGAAACTCTGAAGATAAAGAAATCAAAGGTTTAGGTATATTTTTCTCCGCTGTGCTAACTTTATTAATAGTATTATCGACGATATCTTGAGAAGGATTGAGATCCGATTTTGGAAAATCCATGATTGTGTTATCACTTGAACAAGTATTGGGGAGAATTTTTCGTAGATCCTTGTCTATTAGGAGTTTCAAGTATGTAAGTTGTTTATTACGGTCTTTTTCTCGATAAAATGATACTTTAAATTCCTTTAGTGGTTTGAGAAGAAATTCCATAAAATACTTTAGATTATAGTTAGCATGCTGTCTCCATTTTTTGCCAAATATTGCATAGTAACGACGCTCATTTTTCTTATAGATTGGTAGAAAGCTCAGTAAATTAGTATCAAAATCTTGACGTGATAAAGTATAAGATGTATGAATACCCGAAGAAAAACCTATCCCTCGTAAAATCTCCTCTAAAGCAATAACTTTTGGCAATAATGAATCGCAAGAAGCCTTCTCTCGTGAGTCTCCAATAACCATAAGTTTATGATTCTCTCGCAAGTCATCGAGAGGGTCCATAGCTTGAACTAATGCACTATACGCATTTCGCATCTCTTTTTGGGAATATTTTTCTACAAAATCTTCTGTTATATCTTCAGGTGTCTTTTTATAAAAAGATGCGAGATTATATTTCTGTAAAGCAAATCTACAGGTCAGGTCTATATTCTCTTCTCTTTCTAAGCATTCTTGAATATTTAAAGCTTCGATATTACTCAAAACCGGTGCATTAGCAATCATTGAATATTTTTCTGTATCCAGAACCTTTTTGATTGAACGTACATTTAAAAACAATTCTTTGCCTTCATTATTTTCTGTGATTTTTGAATCAATAGAAGGGCAATCTTCAGCAATATTAATATCATAACCACATTCGCTAAGACGATCAGTCAGTAAACTAACAAAATCATTTCTAGACGCATTGCGACGAGATGCATTATAAAGATGAGTTTCCAAGGAAGCATTTGGTTTAAAAATCCATTTACCATCAGTAGTGAGTGTTTTATCACAATGAGCCTCTTCTAAATCAGGATATTCTGCAATATTACATCGATAGCTGATAAAACGAAGTAAATCTTCACGGTCTGTCGGCAAATTATCGCTACGTAAATCCGTTAGAATGTGTACTACATTTTGATTTAGCTTTCGAACGCGATGCAACATCTGATATGCTTCATTGCTTGTCAGACCAGCTAATGTGCGGAAATGTGCAAATGTCATATCGAAATTTTCGATCGTTATACTTACTCCACAAGTCATCACAGGAGTCGCTATTAAATAATCAAGATTTGCCACTGCCTCATTGATATCAGCAAATATATCCTTTTTCTCAGTTTCTGACAGTCGTTTAGAAAAACACTTACCTTTATACCCATGAGATGCCAATTCCTGATGAAGAGCCTCTGCCATTTCTGCACTAGCAAACATTGGAATATAGACTTTTAATCCTTGCCTAAGAGCTCCAATTAATTCAACATTCCATTTTTTGGTATTAATATGTATAAGAGCGTGACGTTTATCTCGTATATGCTGGTTCCATATCACGGTTGAATTTTCGGCATCTATTTTCGAAATGGTTTGTAAATGTACAAGCGAGTCTGAATCTAATGTAGCATCTAAAGCCAATATCAATAATGCAGATTGGAGCAAGGATTTATATACGTCATGACTCAGCTTCAGTTTTTTCATAGTAGGTCCACTAAAATTCTGAGTAATAGTTTCAAACTCATCTAGTATAATTATATCATAGCCAGTTGCTCCAAGTTTGTGAATGCTTTCAGGACTGATAATGAGTTTCGGAGTATCTTTAGGATTAAGCTTTTTCATATCTAGCTCGAGATAAGACTTAAACCCTTCGAAAAGAACTTTTTGACCATGGGCTAGACTACGCCAGCCAGAAATGATGAGGATTGAAACGGAAGAACCATCAGAATGACAAAGTGTTTTTATTTCCTCTGCTGTCTCATTTGATTTGCCAACACCACAATGTCCTTTAATAAGCATCAAGTGCCAGTTACCACTTGTAAGTTTAGCTTGTAAATTATAGTTACGCATTGTCTTAGCATTATATATTTCGATGTTTTTTCCAACAGTAGTAAAGTTATTTTGTGAAAGAGAATGTGATATATTCTGAAGCCGAGATCTCAATCTATCTAAACGTGGAATAACTTTTTTCTTAATATGATCTGCTTTAAGAACCTCAATACCGGATTCACCTTTTTTTTGCCTAAAACAATAAAGAAAGTAATATGATCCACGCCATCTGCCATACATACCTTCTCTCGTGTGCTCTTTTTCACAGATCGAACATGTTGTAGGCAGAATTCTATCAAAAACATTGAAGCCATTATTAGAATTTCGATAAGACAGAAAAGGAAATTGCTGTTCTACTATTTTTATTGCAGTATCACTCTCCTCGCGTGAAACAGACTCATTTTTCGGTTTTTTCTCTTCTTCTTCCCATTCATATGGCCAGAGTTCTATGAATATATGAGCAATGGTATAATGCCATCGTGATTCGGAATAATTAATTTTATTTTAAAGATTTATCTATCAATTATTATAATTTCAAAAACATATACTTTTTGTCAAATCAAACAACACACATATACAAACAACGCATATATGCAAATCAATAAAATGTCACATTCAAAATATGATTATTTATCAGATGAAAACTCAGAATACAATAGCGATTCTGGGGATGATTTGCCAAATCTAACAAGCGATAAGCAACGAGTGCGAAAATATAAATATCTTAACCGCCCTGATTGCCCTAGAAAAGAATGCCTTTATGCCTCGGAAAATGTTCAACCCGAAGGATGGGTTATCCGGCAAGAGTATCCTCATAGCTATAGATATTTCGATAACTTATCTGAGTTTGAAATATGGCATGATTCGATACCTGAAAACCAGCGTACATTTCATGAAGTTATTCGGACTGGGCAATCACAAAAAATCAAGATTGATGTGGATGGTGAATTAGAAAAGTTTGCATCATATCCCGATCCTTTAGATAGAATAGAAATATCTCTTGGACAGAAATCGTTTGATGGTTTCATCACTAATACATATCTTCATTTATGGCAGAAGTCAACTGAAGTTACACGTAAAAAAGACGAGATTTATTTATACATTAAAAATGCTCTCCGAATTGCTATAAAAGAAATAACTGGATTAGTTCTTTCAAAAGATGATTTTCTTGTAGCCGATTCCTCGAATGAGTCTAAGTGGAGTAAACATTTGATATTACCTAGATATTTCGTTCGTGGTGCATCCAAAGCTCGAAAATTTACATCGCGAATCTTAGAACTTCTTCCAGAAAGAATGCATCCTTTCATTGATGAAAAAGTAAACAAGGATCTCCATTGCTTTCGACTAGCAGGAAGTCATAAAGCCAAAGACTCTTCACGTATTAAGCACATATGTTCAAATCATACTTGGAGAGAGTCACTCATCACTCATATTGAGAAAGATTCCATAGAACTCTGGCCATATGAATGGGAAGAAGATAAAAAGCTGAAAAATGAGTCTGTCTCACGTGAAAAGAGTGATACCGCGATAAAAATAGTAGAAGAACAATTTCCTTTCCTGTCTTATCGAAATTCTAATAATGGCTTCGATATTTTTGATAG